CGTTACCATAGTCCCTCGAGACTGAAGGATGCCAAACAATGTAATTGACATGGCAGCTACATTGCTGCCGTTTCCTCTTGGGGACTTGGCTCGCCTTTAGACCCTTGAGGCTATTTCTTCTCTACCACTGTTCTTAGCTTAGACTTGTCCTTGTCAAGTTTTCCAGTTAACATTGTGTGTGTTGTTCACATACATGTTTCAGTAAGAGTGGGACCCTGCAGGAGTGTTGCGGAAACTTGGCCAGTTTCGTGGCAATGCTCACAACATCCCTGCAAGGTAAGTCAGACTATGAAAATGACTGGTTCAGGGCCAGCAAGTGGGCTTGAAAGCTGAGTGGGGTCCTTGAACTGAGATCCATCAAGTCCCAAACTGATCCTGTAAGCCCCTTATGAGTATAGAGAACAGCTTTACTCATTTCTGTTGCACAAGCTTGAATACAACAGGTTCCAAGAACACTAAAGGACAAACAATGCAGCTTGATTAGGCTATGCAACATACATTAATTTCTTCCAATATGTCTAAGGCTAAGAAAGTGATACGACAAAAAGCATATTTCTTTTACTACCAAGCCGCTATCTCTTTGCTGTCAGGGGTGGGGGCAAAAGTAGGTGAGGGAGAGGGAAGAATCCATAAGTTTCCCCCTTCTTCAGACTGGGAAATATTCACTGGGAGCTCTTCTATAAATAAAACATGGCAGCTTTTAGTGTAATTCTCAGTGTGAGAACATGCTCCTTTTAGAGCCAACAATAATGCCACTTCACGAAGGGGGATGCTAGCTGAAGAGTGGATCTTGCCGCTCCTTCCCACTTTAAAATCAAGTGCATTGGCTCCACAGTCTTCTCAGGCCCCAGGAGTCTGATGACTGCAAGCATGAGTGAGTCAGCTGTGGAGCTCAGAGCGCATAGGAGAGCTCGGGCCCTGTTCTGCGGCCACCGTCAAACCACCAGAGCCTCGGCAGCAGTTCATTTGTGCCTCACTTATTTTGTACATGAGGAGAGATGAACCAAGACCCTGCCTTGAAATCAGTTATCATGGCTGCTTATGCATAACCAAAGAAGAAGAAGAAGAAATATATTACCAGAAACGGATGCCAGGTTGGTATCTGCTTATTTATATCCATTGGTACACATAAAGAAAGAATCCTTTTAGTTTAAATTGAAACACAGTGTATCACTTTAAGGCTGTTCCAAGACATTTTGCTACCTAATACAAAGTGGCATCTTCGTTCCTTCCATGGACAGAAATTAGCTTGATCTTGCATCAGCATAAGTCCTGGGAGGTTAACAAATGTACACTTGTTGCCTAATGGGCAGGGGCAGTCTAAACCTTCATGCCACTTTAGATGGGAAGCAAAGCATAGTGACAGCTAGTCAAAGCCTCATAGGCCCCCTACATTGTAAAGGATCCCCATCACTCCCACATGCTGCTGGCATTCATGGCAGTTCAGGTAATCGCCCTCTTTACTGCACCAAGCAGGCAGGCACCTGAACCCTGTTAGCCGTCCAGAGTGGTAGAATATACCCTAATTGCCCTCTTTACTACACCAAGCAGGCAGGCACCTGAACTCTCCAGCACCTGAACCCTCCAGCCCCAGTTGTAATAAATCTGCACTCTCTTCTCATGGCAGATGGAGGAGAGGAGGAGGAGGCAGCACACACAATGATACTCCTGTACATCAGTGGTCCCCAACATGGGGCCTCCAGATGTTCTTGGACTACAACTCCCAGAAGCCTTCACCGCCACTTCTGCTGGCCAGGATTTCTGGGAGTTGAAGTCCAAGAACATCTGGAGGCCCAAGGTTGGGGATCACTGCTCTACATACACCACCACTGGAGGAGAAGGTAGCAGCCTCATAGTCACTTGCACAGGTGATTTCCCAAGTCACCCCTCCCATAATGCCTTGGCTCTGAAGACTGGTCAGACAGGGGAGATAATGAGAGCTATCCAAAGCAGAATAGGCCCTCCTGGGGCTACAGTAGAAGGAAACATTCATCTGTTATTCAAAAGAGAGTTTGGGAAAGCTATCCCTTTGCCCACAACTCTCCAAATCCTCTAGCCAGAAAAGGCATGGGCCTTACATTTCCTGAAAACCTAACTTCTCCCTCCTGCCCACTCCTCCAGGCAAAATCAACCAGTTTAAAAAATAGCAAGAAAAGTGCATTTTTCATGTTTGTGTTTCATCTTTAATTGAAAAAAGTTCCTTAGTGATGACCATCTATTAGAAAAACTTCAAGAGCTCCAAACCAATTGGTTCCAAAATAATCAAGTTGTGTCTTTTGCCAAAAAAAATAAAAAAATAAAAAAATTAAAAAAGTTGCAGATCTAAGACCCTTAACCATCTTTGAAAATGTTTGTGTAGTGTCAGCCAGAAGTATGAACGGTTAGGTCTCTGAGGTCTGGAGCTGGCTCATAGATTTGCTATATAACTCTTCAGCTGGTTCTATATTTGGCATGGGAATCTGACCCGCAACTCGATTTTTCTAATGAGAAATGGATTTGGTCCACCAGTTTTGAGAACAAAATCAGCAGTGCTCAAAGAAAAGATGCTGAAGACATTTCAGAGATGGGACCTTTGCCCTCCAAAGCTGTTTAGGTTCCTGTCAAAATTATTCTGGCACAAACTGGAGCTAGTGTGGGTATAGAGGGACCCTATTGCATATATGGGTAATTAGGTAGAGCGGTGGTCTTTTGAATAGTACAGTATATATGTTATGTGCCTTCATGTCAGAACCAACTTACAGCAATCCTAACAGGGCTTTCAAGATAAATGAGATATTTAAGGAGTGGTTTTACCAGTTCCATGCCCCCACTGCTTTTCCATGGCAGAGCAGGGATTCAAACCCAAGCCTCTTGAGTCCATTACTCTGTCCACTACACTACACTGGTATCCCTTGGACTGGTATAACACACCTAATTTCTAATGTAACAGACCAAGGCATAGCGAAATGTAATGCTTTGTTAAAGCCATCTGTCTTTATTGGGGATAAACAATATTTATTTCACAAGGCTTTTATCTTTCTGCTTGTTGCATTAGCAGGACAGAAGATAACACATAGATGGATTTCTGGATGGGCTTAGTATTGATGCGTGGCTTCGCAGCATCTGGCAAATGACCCTAAACTATGTTTGCTGCAATCTGCAACTAAATTTTTTTATTGCAGGTTACAAGCAAACAAGTATGAATCCACTTAAAACAACTGTCCTCTGTTTCAGTGTAGCTCCTCACATTCAAACAGAGAACATGTAAGCATGACACACACCTCCTTGCTGATACCTTTTTGTTACGCCCCCTTTTGTGTTCTTATCCCCAGACTTCTCTCTTTGGGTGACAGAAGTAGGGCTTCCTCTGTGGTTGGCTGAAGCAGGAATGCCCTTCATCCTCCATACAGCTTCCTTGTCTGGTGGCCAGCTGGCAAGCGGAAGCCACTGGCAACAGTGGTTGTAGTGGAGGGGTTTGCCTAGTCATTGAAGATGTCCCCCCACTTGCTGCCACTGTGTCCTTGGTTGCCACTAACCAGCTACCCACTGGACAAGCAAGCCTCGTGGAGGAAGAAAGGCTTTCTTGTCTCAGCTGACCACAGAGGAAGCCCTACTGCAGTTTAAAATAGTGTGCATTTAAACCACAGTAGAGTTTCCGTTGTGTGCAGCAAGAGAAGTCACTCTGAATTCAACTTTGTTTCAACTCCCCATGTAGATTCAGCCATACAGACTCAGAAGACAAAAAGAATTTGAACAGATACATTTATGACAATTTCCTTTATCCAGTTCCAGCTGACCACAGAGGAAGCCCTACTACAGTTTAAAATAGTGTGCATTTAAACCACAGTAGAGTTTCCGTTGTGTGCAGCAAGAGAAGTCACTCTGAATTCAACTTTGTTTCAACTCCCCATGTAGATTCAGCCATACAGACTCAGAAGACAAAAAGAATTTGAACAGATACATTTATGACAATTTCCTTTATCCAGTTCATTAACAACAATGCTGTAGTGTACAGATGACTAGGGATGGGGACTCACAAGTTGTGACTCGCTGTTGAACCTGACTGAAGTCACACTGGCAACTTGGCTTGGACTCAATTTAGGTATTTCTTGGGAAGACTTAGACTCAAATGGCGACTCAGACCCATGTTTCTGAGTCGTGTTTTCGAGTCACTATTCGGAATGGGCCTCTCTATCTGCTGCTGCTACTGCCGCCATCCTCAGAGACAGCAGGCCCAGCTCCCCTTCCAGCAGCCAGCTGCTGCCTCCATCCATGCACCTGCCACCCAGCTGATAGGCCAGTGTATGTTCAGAGGCTGGCTCTGGGAATGGAAGCCGGCCCGCTGTCTCTGCGCGTGCACGTGCCCGCCTGGCTTCACTTCCAGGCCTGCTGTCTCTGTGCATGTGCCTCCCCCAGAGGGGCAGGGCAAACAACTCAAGAGGTGAACAAACACTTGGTATTTGGACCCAAAGATTTGCCAACATCCCTGCAGGCCACTTACTACTCATTTGGATCTTTAGGGATAAGTTTTTAAAACCAGAACAACAATGGGATCCAGTGATTTAAATATTTTGTTATTCTACCCCTTTCTGTTTTCCTTTTGTGGCTTTTGAATGTGTGTGCCCTTTACAATAACTTTAGAAACAAACAAGCAAACAAACGTCTTCCCCACACATAGCTTTGAGCCCTAGAAAAACATTCCCACAATGAAAAGATGCTGCTGCCATGTGTGCTGGTGGTACAATTTTTGTCAGCACACGTTTATGGAGTGAAGAACTAGACTTCCCAACTTTACGTGTTGTCTTTGAAGTAAGAACCACTCCCACCCTATACTTATAACTAGTTTTAAAATATGTTGCGCGATACTAGTCAAGTAATGAGATAAATGAAGAAATGGAAAATTTAGGGAGAAAACTACTGGTTTAATAGAAAAGGATGTTTCTCATCAGGTAATTTGAACAATTATTTTAACATAAAGAAGGCATTATCTTCATGTCATGTCAATATTGACAAGTGGCTTTGTACAGCCTTCCTTTTCTCTGTGGCAGATCGCTTTTGTGTATCTTCCTGTTTCTTGTAGTCGACTGATAAGGAAGCAGATCAAAGCTCTGTGAGAGAAATGCAGCAAATTTGTGGCAGAAAAGTTGCGTTTCAAAAGCAATGAGAATACAAAAAGTAGCTTAACATACTCTCACTATAGTTTGGGATGGTTAATTGCTTTGTTAATTGCTTTGATAGCAGATAGCAAAGTACCTTCTGGTGCCTCCAGTCTGCTTATGGGGCATGAAAGAGATGAGGGGGGAAGGTAGGTTTAGCTAAAACCTGTCCTCATTTTCCCCTCTCTTCATGGCTCATTTGTTTAATGATAATGAATGGGTGTAGTTTCGATATGCAAAGGCAGATAAGCAAATTCAGAGCTAACATTCAAGACATTCATTCATTGTGAGCAAAGTGGCCACAAAATGTAAAAAGAAACCATTAACAAAGATTACCATGGCTTGTTCTCTGTGCTTCAGGTTGTATGGTTGAAAAATAAGAAAGCAATGCAGTAAGGAGAGAAAGACTAGGATTCCACATAAGAAAACACATGTCACAATAAGACTCATGCAAGAACTGGCTGCACAGTGTCTGGTTTGTCCTGGATACTTTCTGAGAGATGATTCCGACACATCTCTATGACTGAGAAATCATTCCTGTACACAAAAAACATTGCTAACCATGAGAGGTACAAAAACTTCCTGCTGTGACCACCAGACATGTTCAGCACGTAAATATATCCCTTTTCTAATTATGAGCCATCTGTAACATATACTGTAGTTTGATCTATGGAGGTCCAATGAAATGTACATATGTTTCTCTTCTGGAGAAGTGGTGATTTTTATTTAAAGACACTGTGTTTCAAAGAGGCTTTCTTAGGGAAAACCTTTTCAGACGTTGCTTTCATATTACATGTTACCAGAGATACATTTAATTATAGACGTTGGTTACTGAACTGGGATAATTTCTTTGTGCACAATGTGCAGGAACAGCCTGTGAGATTTCACTGCCTGAAGGACTCTTCTGTCCCAATTCAAGGTACAAAACAGCACCCAAGACAAGTCAAGTTCTTTGGGCCCTAAGAGGAGAAAGGTCTACAAAAGCTTTTTCCTCTTTACGGTGCTAAAATTATAATTATAAAAAAATGTGCTGATTTCACACCCCAGATCAGTGTCCAGATGGGCCCTTGTCTTGGCTTAGCTATCTGAGACTAAAACACTGTTACCTATCCTCAATTAGGGTGCTTCTCTGAGTAAGAATGTGCATATATTCCACATGAAATATTCTTACACACTTTTCCAGAACATGGAGCTGTATTATGGGATGAGAGAGAGTCCATTCGGTTGTGTGTGTGTGTGTGTGTGTGTGCTACACTTTTACAGAACATGGAGCTGTACTATGGGATGAGAGAGAGTCCATTCGGTAGTGTGTGTGTGTGTGTGTGTGAGAGAGAGAGAGAGAGAGAGAGAGTGAGTAAATGAGTGAGGGGGGGACACCCATGATCAACAGGGACCAGGAGATGGCTGCCCAACATAGTATTCCAAATTTTACCTAATATCTTCATAAACTGATGCTGCTGTTTGACTCGTGCTACTGTATGTTGCTTCATCCTCTTGAAATTGGAATTCTTCACACAAAAAAGTAGGAGAGAAAAGAATGTAAGAGACAGGATCAATTTAATCAAAGGTCATTAGAAAATCAAAGATCATTAGAAAGTAGAAACAATAGCTTCAGTGTTCTAATCACTGGATCAAAGCGCAAGATGTGCAAGTGCAGGAAGGGGCATAGGCATTTGTACATATAGCTGATTTAAATATTATTCCCCCCACTCATATTTACACATCCAATTCAACCCTAGGTAACCAGTAGAACACAAATTCAGATTGCAATCCAGCCACAATGCATGCCAAGCACAAAAGCTTTCTAATGATCTTTGATTAGTTCTTTATTAAATTCATCAACGGAGCAGAGAAAATTTAATAATCTCCACCATTTGTCATCTTTCTGATTAGGATTTTGATTAGAACTTTAGGCTTTTATTTGCCTCCTTTCTATCCATTGCTATTATAACGCTGCTTCTTTCTCCCAGTTTAAGAAGTAAGATGGTAGTGCAAAGAACAGACACCCCCCCTGATTGGTATTCATCGAGAAATGCGCAAGTTAGAGTAAAGCTAATTGTGTTTTTTCATCCTTCTGGTAGCAGTTTTTTCAAGAAATTGAAAGACTGTTCTACTGAACATCCAGAGACTGTTACACATGGAACATGCATGGGATGCTGCTTATGCTTAGAAAAAAAGTGTGACAATTTACTAAATTAATAAATAAGACCAGAGCAACCATATTTCATGCCTGAGTGAGGTCAAGCTCCAGTTATCATGGACTCTGTTCCTCAGTTTCTGCAGCTAACTATGAGTGAATGAATGAACACTTTATTACGGTCTAAGACCAGAACTAACTATGAGTATACATCAGTATATTTACCATTCTTTATTAGTCTCTGATGGCATTCCATCCTACAACCTTTTCAGCAGAACACAAGTAGCTGAAAACAACGTTCTAGGAATAATTAGTAACTGCTGTTCCTTTTACAAAAGCAATAACGGCATTGTCCATCTCTACATTTGATTTAAAAACAACTTCATTTATATTTTTGCATGAGCTGGATTATTCCTTTATCCTTTCTCCAAAGGAAATGATTTTAACTTGAATCGTGCAGAAATAGGGCTTTAAATGCATGCATGTATGCTATATATTCTCAAGCAGTTTCTGTCTTACGGTCAAAGGTTTTCATATGTCAGCAACTGTATTAAAGAAACCTGCTTTTCTAATTAGTTTGAGAAAAAGACCTTTTTATTTTCTCAGTCCTTTGAATTCAGATTAACCTGTTTCATCTTGGGTGGTTCTATTCCTTTGCTTCTCTTCATTTTGAAGTTGCTACCATGTGCTTCTACATTTTTGTAGGGTTCTAAATTTTTAAGTCACTCTGAGGATGTAAATTCTCAATATAAATAAATACATAAAATCAATCAATGTGCAAATAAAGACTTGTTATGGCCTATTTATTTATTCATTCACCTTATTTTATCCATTCAATTATATGCTGCCTTACTTCCATGAACTGGACTCAAGTATAATTATATAAGATAAATGCAATTAAAACAAAACAAACAACAATAACAACAAAATACAAAACACAACGTAAAAATGAACCAAGAAAAGAAGATACAGCACTTACCTTTAAACCCTCTTGGTTACTGGCTGAGATGTGTAAAATTACTTTCCAGCACCCTAGCCTAGATGCTTTTTAGAAGAGTTCTAATACCTTCATAGTTATAGTGTTAATGTAGGTCAGTGTTTGGTGGTGATATTCTCCATTCGAAGAGCTTCCTGAAGATGGTTCTCCTCCAGATGACCCCCCAGTTACAGTTTGATTTCAATATAAAGAATTCTAAGGAGACAGATCAAGGACCCCAAAGTTTTTCATCCACACTGGGTACCTGGATAGTAAACTCAGTAGACACAGAGGTCACATGGTGACTAGCTTCCTTAATCAATTGAGATGTACTCTAATTGGGTTTGGAGTATAACATTCATTTCTAATTTTACCCTGGTACATATAAATTAGCATATGCAATGGTATGAAAATGAGGGTCCACTTTCATCAGAGTCTGGTTACTGTGGCTGATGTTGGCACCGATGTTGAGTCCCTCCACTGACATTTGGATCTCAGAAGTACTCAGTTTTTGTTGTTGTTGTTTAGTCATTAAGTTGTGTCCGACTCTTCGTGACCCCATGGACCAGAGCATGGCAGGCCCTCCTGTCTTCCACTGCCTCCAGGAGTTTGTCAAATTCATGTTCAGTCTTTAGCCCTCAACAATGGAGCTTTTTTCTAAGGGGTTAAATTAGTGTCCATTGCCACTGAGTGCAGCCATTTTCCTTCCCATTTTCCTATCAAGGAGCATTGTGAGCAACTGGAATGATACCCCACTAGCAAATACCAGATGACTGCTGGTATATCCCCTGCTTTCATCTTCTATTTCCAATAACAGGTAAGCCCAGTGGACATTGAAAAGGTCCACCCACCAGTCTTTTGCTGGGGGAGTCCACAAAATCTGGAAATTGCTCTAAATGTTCTATTAGCTTTGTTGCATCTTGCATTTAAATTTTTGCAATGTTTAACCGGTCACTTTCTGTGCATTTTCTTTACCAGTGGCCTCACTTCCTAGATGCTGGCTAAATGAGACACAAAAAGAGAAAAGAAAAGAAAAACATTGGTTGCTGGAGAGAAAGTGGTTGCAAAAATGTTGATAAGATCACATTAGGAAGTCAAAGTTTTATCCCTGGAAACCGTGTGCTATTAGAGAGTGCTTAACTCAATGGGAAATGGGCTTGCAAGAGGGTAATGGGATTAATCATCTTGTTAGGAAGGAAAAAGTATTGAAATAACTTCATGGTTGACATGGCCAGTTTTCAGATCAGCTCTCCTTTTCACAGACACTTGTTGTCACAGGCGGGGGGTTAACCTCTCAGGCATGGAGCTAATCGGTCCTCAAATGTCATTTCTTCTAGAGAAGTGGATGGATATATTCTCTCCTTGCCTCTCCACCCCACCATTCGGAGCAATGGGAATGATATTGACTGTCTACTTCTATCAATTTTTCCCCATTTTAAAGCCTCGTTCAGATGTAATTCGTACCATCTTACTCTTCAGTATTTGTCTTTTGGAGAGCAGTTTAATGCCTGTGACTTCACACCACTGTAAGCCTCTCTGGAGATTTAATGAATTAAAACTCCCATACGTACAAAGACAATATTCTGTCACAAAGAAAACCTGGGTACCCAATTAACTTTAGGTTGCATTGTACCTTGGGAACAAATAAACCCCACCAGGTAGACTGATGCATGCCACCTACCTCCACTCCATACAAGTATGCTGTAAATCCAGCAGTTTACAATCCAGAGAATAATCATTGCATTGAGATAATCAGACCTGCATATAAATTACAATTCTGTTTGAATACAGTTCCTTAGCCCAAACCATTACTTGAACCAGCTCTCCGTCTCACATCATGGGTTTCTCTTCTCCACGAAGCAAATGTTCTTAAGCATATCATGCTGACACCTGATTGCACAGTTTTCCTAATCTAGTGTTAGGTATGGGTGAGAATTAGTTTGATAGAACAAAAATGATCCAAAATGGGATAGTTCATAATTTTATAACTTTGGAAGAAAGACTTTTTGAAATTAAATTATAATACAAAACGAAGTAGATTCACCTGTCAAGGCAGGATGTTTTGAGGATTTACCTTTAAAACCCTATCTTTGCATTCCTGTGCATTCAACTGTGTTTCTGCTACTGAATTGCTGTTATGTGGTGTCAGGCTGGAACTGACTTATAGCAACTCTAACAGGGCTTTCATAGAATCATAGAATAGAATCATGGAATAATGGAGTTTGAAGGGGGCTATAAGGACATTGAGTCTGACCCCCTACTCAATGCAGAATTCAAAATTGAAGGATATCGGATACATGGCTGTTCAGTTTTCTGTGGAATGCCTCTAGCATTGGAGTGCTCACCACTGCCCAAAGTAACTGGTTCCACTGTAAGACTCCTCTAACATTTACATTTTTCCCTCAATCTGGCTTTCTGTAGTTTGAGCCTATGATGATGATGATGATGATGATGATGGTTGTTGTTGTTGTTGTTGTTGTTGTTAAACACCAGGCACATTCAAAATTATAAAAACATTGACTGGTATTATAAACAGAGACAAGTTTTAACCCAAAACCTAAGTATCTGTTAAATATTGGTGCTATACGCATGCTGTTCCTAATATTGCCAGGTTTTGTAGCTCTGATGTAGCTCTGATGTAGCTCTGAGATCTGCAACTGCTTATAGTACTGTGTGAAATTTATTGATAATGTTCCCAAAGCCCCAATGACTACGGAGACCACTGAAGTGTGCTTTTTCCAGAGGTGAGATGTTTTGATTGCCAGGTCTCTGTACTTTATAGGTTTTCCAGTTCTTTATTTCCAGCTCTGGCATCCCTTTGAATTGTAACATCAATGATCCAGATCTTCCTTCATTCTGTTACTACTATGTCTGATGTATTATGTTCAAGGTGTTTATCAGGTTGGATCTGGTAATCCCAAAAATCAAGGCTTTGGTTTCTTTCTTAATGTTCCCCAGTTTTAGCCATGCCCATGTTGAATTATGATCATGTTTTCCATCAATATTTCTCAGGTATTGTCCATGTAGTGCTTTATTTTTCCAGCTGTTTAATTTATTTTCAGATTGTTGTTTCTTATATTGGGCATTTGTTCTGTTGCTTGCAAAATATTCTCCATTTTCACTGCCTTAAGTAATTGTTTTCTGCTTGTACTGATATAATCATTCAGACTTCTTTTTTTCCTCCTCTACTAGCTGCTGTATCCTAGGCCTCCGATTTTTCATGGTAAATATAATCTGTTCACATCGCTTTTTGGATATAGAGCATGATGCATGCTGATTAGTTTATGTGTTTTTTGATCTAATTTTTTGAATTCATTTTGAGCCCAATCTATTATTCCAGGTGGGTATCTAATTACTGAAACTGCCCATGCACTTATGGCTTTGGTTGTATATCCGTCATTTAATTTTGATTTTAAGATTTTCTAGTCTTTTGATATATTCCCTTTCTGTCAATTCTTTAACTTTTTTGTGCTCGATGTTGTCTGCTTCTAATATTCCAAGGTATTTATAATTTTCATCACATGATAGTGATTTTTAATACAGTACTGCAGTTTTTTTACTTTGTTCCATCTAATTTTTGGATCTTGCCACGGTGTATAGACAGAGCTGCACATTTGTCAATTCCAAATTTCTTTTGGATATTATCACTGAATCTTTCTTCTGTGTTTAGCAGTGATTCTATCTCTGGGGAACTTTTTTCATATAGTTTCAAGTCATCCAAGTATAACAGATGATAGATTTTTCCTGCTTGTTCTGAAATATGGTAGCCCAAACCAGTTTTATTTAAAATTATTGACTTCTCCAATTTCTTTACCATGGGCCCTTAAGACAATTTTCCATTTTTCCATGTTTTTCTTGAGGAACTTGAGGAATGTTTTTCATGAGGAATGTTTTCACTAATCCAAAAAAATTTAGGCAGGTATTAACCCAGCTGTGTGAAAATGAGTCAAATGCCTTTTTATACAGCAGTCTATCCAGGCAATGTTAAGTTTTGTTTTTCACCTATTTGCATTCTTCAGTATCATTTTATTAATAAGCAGCTGATATTTTGTGCCTCTTGACATTTTAAAGTTCCCTTTCTGTTCATGGATTAAATACATTTGTAAAGAAACCCAAGGAAGATGTATAGATGATATTGTAATAACAACTGAAATGATTGAAAGGCAAGTAAAGACTGTGAAAAACTGGAGTTTACCTAGTCCAGATGAGCTGCAAGAATTTTGGTTAAAGCAGTTAACAAGTCTCCATCAACGTATAGCAGTGCAATTTAATCACTAACCTCAAAATTCTAGAACCAAAGATTGGATGAGAACAGGCTGCATATTTCTGATAATCAAAGATCATGAAAAGGGCAATGAACCTAGTAACTATTGACCAATTACATGCCTTCCAACAACGTTCAAGCTTTTCAAAGAAGTACTTGCAAGATAATATATAATTACTTAATTGAAAACTCCCTATATGCAACTGAACAGAAAGGGAACTTTAAAAAGTCAAGAGCCATGAAAGATCAGCTGCTTATTGATAAAATGATACTAAAAATGCAAAAAAAAAAAAAAAAACCAAAAAAATCTTAACATGGCCTGGATAGAATATGAAAAGGTATTTGACTCATTGATACACAGCTGGATTAACGCCTGCTTAAAAGTAGTGGTAGCAGTAATATTACTGTGTTTACCGAAAATAAGACAGGGTCTTATATTAAATTTTGCTCCCAAAACACATTAGGGCTTATTTTCAGGAAATGTTTTCGTGTACAACAATCAACATTTATTCAAATACAGTGGTGCCTCACTTAGCGATGTTAATCCATTCCAAAAAAAACATTGCTAAGAGATTTAATCGATAAGCGATTTTAAAAAACCCATAGGAACATATTAAAATGTGTTTAACACGTTCCTATGGGCTAAAAACTTACCTTAAAGCGAAATTCCTCCATAGCGGCGGCCATTTTGGGTGCCTCTACAGCGAGGCAAAACAGCAGCGTCCATTTTGTTTTTGTGGTGGCCATTTTGGAACCGCCAATCAGGTGTTTAAAAAAGTTCACAAAGCGAATTTTAGCCATAGAGGACATTGCAATTTCATCTCTCAACGGAGCGATCGCTAAGCGAGGCACCACTGTATAGTCATTCATCTTCTTCTGGTTGCTGCACATTGGTGGAGGGGGGTTTCACTTATTTTTGGGGTAGGATTTATATTACGCACATCCTGAAAAATCATTCTAGAGCAGCGGTCCCCAAACATTTTGGGACTGCGGACTGGCTGAGCCTCTGAGGAAGGGGGGGTCCCCGCAGGTGCAGGTGCGCACACTCTCAGGTGCATGCACAAAGTGGTGGGGGAGCGCCTGCCTGCGCGCTCCCCCACCCCTTCGCACATGCACAGGGGCGCCTGCACACCCGCCCTCCCAAGGCTTCACTTGGACACATGCGCGAAGCAGTGAGGAAGTGCCCACCAGTGCCGGCGTGAGCACACCCCCACCCCTTCGCACATGTGCAGGGGCACCTGCACACCATCCCACACACTCGCCCAT